AAAACCTCCACCCGGACTCACCCAGCTGAGCAGTCTCACGATAGTTGGCGGCTGTCGGACGAACTTGTGGAAGTCGAAGCCCCCCCCGGCCAGCGCGGCCCCGTACGCGGTGCTGCCACCTGCCTCCTCCATGTCTCCGCCTCCCGCCGGTGCTCCGCAGCCCCGAGCAAGCGCACGATCCGAGCCCTAAGAGAGCCGAGCTTTAGAGGGCCCGCCCGGTTCAGCTGGACTTAAAACTAACAGCAACACACAAAAAAAACGCCGACTCCTGTTGCGGAGGACGGAGAGCAGCCGTGCGTAAAGGGGCCGTGCGTAAAGGAGCCGTGCGTAAAGGGGCGTGGCCGCGCGCGGCACGTGAGGCGGGTGTCACCCAACCAGAGAGTAACCCGACACATCTTCACACAAACCAAACACAGATCAACACACAAACAAAATGTTTATTTATCTCCATAAGCGGTTACACTTCTTCTGGGGGAGTTTCGTCCTCCAGAGTCCGCTTTTCCAGCTCAATGAGCGGCCATTCGTCCACCGAGGCCCCGGAGGCCTGGGGAGGACATCAGGAGAGGAGTTTCACTTTTTGTTCATTATCGTCATGATGGAGTCCATGATTGTGCCTTCACCTGATCAAATTCGTCTTCTCCGGCTGCTTTTGTCACATCAGGATCCTCGCTGTAGTCCGCCCAGTCCTACAAAATAAGCATTTAAATCCAGTTTGTACGCAAAGATATAGATCATAAACAGATATTTAGTGAGAGTGTGAGGACAGGAGCTTTGACCCACCAGGGTGTCCAACACGTTGTCCATTTCCAGGCTCAACCTGAGAGGAAAACAGTTTTACCAAGCTGGTTAAACAGGGAAACTGTGAAAAAGAAATTGATTTTTAATGCGATTTCTTCTGTTTTACCACCTTTACCCAGAAGCTCCCACATGCTTTACTTCTAAGAGACTCGGCCTCTCTCTGGGTCATGTCTTTGACCTCTGGTCAAATAACAAACATTTGTTCTTTTATCTCTTTTCTTTAACACATTTTGACCATCTTTTTTCCAGCTTTTTTATGACGTGTGTCCACCACCACATCTGAAGTGAGCTCAGATTAGCTCCCTTCCTCTGTAATGTCCACGGGGCATCTGAGATGTTGATTTATGTGGTTTATGGATCTCTGCTTTTTCCTAAAGTTGCATCACGCAAAGCATCTCCATTACATTTTAGGTGTTGCTTGAATATTTAATATCCAGGCCCACATCACAGCTTTGTGTAGACCTGGAGTTGAGTTGGAAAATAGGACTGGTGGTGAAGACATTTGAGATAAGAAGTGGGAACGGAAGACAAGGCGCATGTTAATGAGAGCAGTGATTTATGTGGGACAGTTAAGCTCCTTCTGATTCGGACTTTGGACCTTTGCAGGCAAACACAGAAAGCAATAAAACCGACTTAAGGAAAGGTAACAACAGATAAAGGCCAGCTGTGGACATTCTTAAGGCTCCACACCAGGAAATTAATGGGTCCTCTGACGTAAGGTCTTGGCAAATCAATACAAATCCAATTTATCCTGCCCTTCCTAACATTTATCATAGAGCTCTGATACAGGAGGACAACACCCCACGAAGGCCTGGAGCAGAGTTAAGGCCCAAGGCAGAGTCGAGACTTAAGAGCCGAATTGACCCCGTTTGTTTCTGCTTTGGACTTTGATATGAAAGCAGTTGTGTTGATAAGGAAAACAGGAAGAGGGCCATTGTACTTTGTCACTCAGCATCCCCCACTGTGTCCTCCAGTGGTGTTATTCTTCCTAAGAAATAGTTAAAAGGCTGTTCCAGCTTCAGCTGAACAGAGATGTTAACTCACTCAGGCTTCTCTTCATACGGCCCCCGTCCTGAAAGAAGAACAGGTCACATTATTTCCCAGCAGCAACAGAACAAAAACACCAGAGAGGGACTTGCAAATCTCACTAATCAACTTAGAAATATTGCAAATTTACTAATTAATTAACATCGATATCAGCTTAAAACTGCTAGCAACACGTCTCCAAAAAGGGCAACAGAAGGTTGGAAAAGCAGCCGCCTATTTATTGAAAACAATTATGCTATTAGCTGACCAATCAAGAGAGGCAGAGACTCTCAGAAGTAAAGCTGAGAGGCATTATGCAAAAAAGTTCCTGAAAAGGTGAAAATGTGTGGAAAAGATTGTGTCCTGTTCAAAACATCATGTCAGTATTTAGAGAAATAGAGACATTACAATGAGCTGAAAATCAGAAATTTGCAGCTCCACAAACGCAGATCCAGGCTCTTTTGTGCAGAATTATGAGGCAGATTCAGAAACTCGGGCATCTCTCATCGGTTTTAGACCGATGGAGCGACTTGCTTTGCTAAAAGGGATTCAGTGAAAACTTTGGGAGCATCATGAACCACAAATAAAAACAAAGAAGATCCCGGACTTCTCAGCCGGAGGAAAACAGGGAACGCTGTTTTACGGGAAACATGGAAACACCGTCAGATTTAAAATTAGCAAATATTTGTCCCAGACAGTAACAGTAAACACGACTGTCAAGAAAACTGGTTAATGAGACATACAGATCGCTTCACTTTGTTTTCTGAGGGTTCTGGGTTAGAGTCCCCGGGGGAACCAGGACCAGAGGGTTCTGGGTTGGAGTCCCGGGGGAACCAGGACCTTTCTGGGTGGTTCTGCATGTTCTCCTGTGTCTGTGGGTTCTCTCCGGGTTCTCCGGCTTCCTCCCACCGTCCAAAAACCTGCATGTTAGGTTGTTGGGCTCAAAACTGCCCTTAGTGTGAGTGTGTGTGGTTGTTGGTCCTTGTGTGTCTCTGTGTGACCCTGTGATGGGGGGATGGGGAATACGAAAAAAGGAGTGGTGGGTATGAAAACTCACTGGTCACAACTCCAAGCAGGCAACAGAAGGACACCAACAGAACGAGGGCCGTGAAGCATCCAAACACAATGGCCACCACAAAGTCCGGCAGGCGGTTGAGAACTGGAGGAGGACGAGAAATAAACCGATAAACCAATAAACCGATAAACCGATAAACCAATAAACCGATATACCGATAAAACGATAAACCGATAAAACGGCTACGACCGGCCTCAGGCAGGCAGTCACAGCCAGTCAGCCTACCCTCTTTTTTTTTTTAAACTCTTTTTATTAAACACAAAACAGAGTTACATTCTTGGCTCAAGTTATAGATTTTAGTGTTTTAAACATTTCAAATTGCGACCCCCACCCCTCAGAACGACTGTGCATCTACCCACAAGATCAATAAGCAATAAAACCTTAGTGAGTCATCTTAGACCATAAAGAAAAGGAAAGACCAAAAAAAGTAGTTATCATGACAAATACAAATACAATTAAGGAGTAGTGAAACAACATTAACCATGAATATCGGGGAACAGAAAGGGGAATAATAATGCATCCTGTGTAAAATGTTAATCTGGATCAAGGCCAAACGTGCACAGGATCCCTCTTCCCATTTCATTAGGAGGGTTTCTTAACTTTTCCCCTAACATGAACGGCCTACCCTCCTTATCCAGGTACCTCCCGGGGCTCTGGAGGACGGTGGAGTTGTCGAAGCTGTCGGCCACCTGGCAGTGGTATGTCCCGGGGGCGCCCCCCCCC